AATTAAGTAGTGTGTGTGTGTGTGTGTGTGTGTGTGTGTGTGTGTAAATAAGAATTAAAGCTTTTGCTTATCCCCTTTTAATTCAAAGTGCTGTTTGTTAATTTAATGGAAGTAAAACTATGTAAATGCAGTACAAAACTCAAGCTCATATTTTCATTGCAACATAACTCCTAATATTGTTGAGTTAACATTATGAAAAACTTGTACTCATTAGTCAAAATGGAACCTGTAGAATGTCAAAAGAGGTTTGCAGCTGGAAGTTGTCCATTATCAGTATTTCTTTGCTTATATGAAAAGCCACAAAAGTTTCAGATGTCAAATGCTGCAAACATTCAGCTCCAGAAAACCTGATTAATCAGAGCTAAAAAATGGATTCAAAACAAAATGGCTAATTTGTTTTGCAAATGACTAATTTATGTTACAAATGTGAGGAAATTACCATAGAGTGTTTCTGAATGTGATTGTTATAGTAATGTATTAACTTTAAAATAATAATTGGTTCCTTATATGAGAACATCCCCCACTAAAATATTCAGTTTTAATGAAGTTTATTCAGTCAGGACTGTTAGACTTTTCATGGCAGAATTCATTGTTTATGCAAAACTAAATACATTAATACGTAATTGAAATGCTCCAATAGTGTCACTGAAATTGGTTGGATAGAAGTATTTTATTTCCTTTCTTGCCTCATTCATTAAAATACAATGAAATTTATAAGAAAATATGTCCCATATACATGTAGATGGGCAAGGCATGGGTGTGAGCTGTGGGATGTATGTTCCCCTTAGTAAAATAATTGAATTCGGTTAGGATTTAGGAGAGGACAAATCAGAAAGGGAGTTCCCTCTGTTCAGTGCTTACTATATCAAGCATGGAGGTAGATGAAGAGAGAAAGATAAAAATAAGCAGCGTGGGCTGAATTCCACTTTCAGTTAAAATAAAATGTAAATCCAAAGTAACTCTATTGACTTTCAGTGGATTTATGATAACTTTACACTGGTGCAACAGAGCTGGATTTTGTGCTATGTGTATATATACATAGAATATTTTGAATTAGTGATATTGTGTCTGTAAACTGAAAAATAAAATGAAAATGACGGAGAAAGAAAATTTTCAGGTATTCAAGACGACTAATATTTTGTTATTAATGCAACTTTTGTACAGTAGTTACATTTGTAGTGTATGCTTCCTATGCATAGATTGCATGATTACTTTGGTATAGGATCCTGTCCTGCAGTATTTACTCAAACTCCAATAAGTTTAGTGGTTGAATTTTTCCCTACTCTGTATGTAATACAGAACAGTGGTGCTAGAACAATTTTTATAGTGGGGGGTGCTGAGAGCCATTTAACCGAACTGTAAACCCTGTACAATAACTCCTCACTTAAAAGTTAGGGAACATGCTCATTTAAAGTTGTGCAATGCTCCCTTCTAACGTCCTTTGGCAGCCGCCTGCTTTGTCCACTGCTTGCAGGAAGAGCGGCCCATTGGAGCTAGCTGGTGCGGGCTTGGAATCAGGGTGGACTGGCAGCCCCCCATCAGCTCCCCTAAGTTCCCTGTGCTGCAGCTGCCCAGCAGGCTAGCAATTGCTGGCATTCAGCTGTCCCTCCCCCCACTGCAATGTGCTGCTCCTGCCCTCTGCCTTGGAGCTGCTCCCAGAGACTTCTGTATGGAGGGAGGGGGGAAGTGGAGGGCTAATGTCAGGTGTCCCCTCCCCCCTGCTCCTGCACCCCGCTTACCCCATTTCCATAGAGCAGGGGGGACACACAACAGGGTTCAGGACGGAGGGAGCTTCCAGGCAGCAGCTGCTGTCTCAGCAAGCTGATCTAATTAACAAGGCAGTGTACTTAAGACTGGGGTCAGCTATTTAAAGGGGAAATGTGCATATCTCTCTCTCTCTCTCACACACACACACACACACACACACACATGTCTCTGTCTCTGTCTGCTATGCTCTCCCCTCCCTCCATGCCTGTTGCCTTGTAGAGTGAGGCTATATTAACAATGAGTTAACCCTTGAGGGCTCAGCCAAATGCTAGTTCATCGTTTAGCAGTAAGGCATTCCCTGGAAAATATCCCACCCT